TAGACGTAGAGTCGTTTAATTGAGCATCGAGCGTTAAAGAGCGCTATTTTCATTAGGTTAACGAGGAAAAAATAGTGGGTGGTAAACAGGCAGATAAAATCCGCCAGCAGTTCTTAACGTCGCGGGTAAAGTCAAATGAAATTCCTGAGAAAGAATTAATTACACTGGTATTACGGCGTCTAGCCAGGGGCGAACGTTGTCGTGGGGAAAGTATTTTCACGGATCGATAAAATCCAGCTGAATTGCATTTGAATCGAGCAAAATGCTAATAACGCCGACATCGCATTGTTCGACGGACACGTAGCTGAAACGATTCACCGATACGACTGACGACAATGGCCTTTTTTTAATATCGCTTCACAAGGCGCGGGTGTTACACTCCGGGAATTATTGTAACGAGCATTCCTGAAGTGTCTAGTTACGCGTCGCGTTCCTATGAATAAAAACGCAACGAGGGGATCTTCATTTTGTAAGAACACTGTTTGTGTGAGATTTGAAAGCATCATTTATATCTGTACGCTTGCACATTTCTATAGTATAAGGTCTGTTTTAATCCTCGAACGGCGGACCATGAAGAGAATCACAATTATAATTTAATTTCGTATTTCATATTATTCTCATTTTCTAAATTTAACACTGTACTTTTAAAAATTATATTTCCAATATATGAAATTATACATGTAACTTTGGGTCGCGATTGAACCAGCCTCCGCTGTTCAAGGGTTAAATGAATTAATCAATTTTGTAATCGACACTCTTACAAATTCATTTGGGTACCGACCACCCCAATGAGTCTTTGTTTTCAAAAGGTAATAAAATTCACTAAACGTGCTTTATTGGCGAGGCACGTGGCCGAGCCGATAAACGATAATAGCGAAACACAGAAAGTGACCATTAAAATGCAATCACCCGGTGGTTGTTTCGCGAATGCGTTAAAGCGTGTCGATAACCATCTTGCCCGCGAAACGATGAAATCTATCTTTTTTTGTCTAGCTTGTAATGCGAGATTTAATTAAGATACACGATCGCGTGAGAATGATCATCTTCTAGCAATCCGCGGAATCCGTAAGCTGCTCACGCGGTATTGCTCGTAGCTCGCGTCAAGAAAAATACAAATGACTGTGTTGTAAACTCGCTGTCCACTTGCGAGTATCACCAATTCATCGTGTACCCTTTTACTCATCCTTTCATCCGAGAAACATTTATTTCTATAAGAAAACCTTGGCATGCATAGACATCTGTCACAATCCTCAATCACGATCATTTCGTCGATTTTATCCAATAATCCCACGAGACAAAGGAGAACAATAATCCTCGCGTCCTATCTCTGATTATACCTCCGTTGATAATCGCAAAACGCTTGCATTCGTGCATGAACCTATTATCTATTTATATTATTTCCAGTGACGATCGATCGCCTCTACCTCAACAATTACACCTTCTCCTTCGGTTCCCTTTTTGCATCGTTTCGAAAGGTCACCAGGTACCGATGAAATAGGCCATTCTAACTATGCAATGACGTTTGTTTCGCGCACGATCGCCTCTGCAGGGAGCAGAAGAACGATTCGAAGATAGCGGTGTCGAAGGAATCGCGTGATAATAAAATTAGATTTATATTTAGGCGACACGACCTACACCAGCGTTCATATGTCACAGAGAACTTTACGATTTCAGAATAAATTTGGATAACTTTTAAACTATTGACGATTCAAACTCGGTCATTTAACCCTCGGATGACGGACCATGGAGAGAGCAAACCCTAAGGTTGAAATTAAGCGAGTGTCCCACGACTTATGAGCAAGAGTGCGTGTCCCTGTTCTTTTTCTTCCTCTTTTCCTGCCTATCCCTTTTCGCGTTTCCCTTTTGGTCCGGTTCGCGCGCGCCGTTCCGTATCTCTTTCTTCGTCTCGAATAGTTTTGATTCATGAGAAGGGTGTAACCCGAGCATGCGTGTTACACGTGTGTGCGTGCACACCTTGAGGTGTGTTCCTCCGCTCTTCTCGGTACACCTTTCGTTTCCTTCTCTTCTTCGTCTAGCGCGTTCTTCCGACGGACAAGGCGAAATCCGACACTGCATACCAGTAACTCGACTTCCAACCCGGCGCCCACCTTTCGCCTTACTCCCTCGTCGCCTCTCTACACCTTTCCTCTCACCTTCGCCTCCTCCCACGACAACTAAGGCGGCTAAGACCAGCCTGCTTCCACGTGTGCTCCGCGCCAGCGGTCTACGTTTGAACACGTGTCAACATGTCGGTTGACATAGATTTTTCGCCGAGATAGAAGCACGAAAATAAGACGAGACTCTCTCTTTCTCTCGGCTGCGTTTCGGAGCCGAGAGAAGCTTGATCGACTCTCCTCCATGGGAGCCGGAGTGTAAGAAAAGAGAATGAGGCGAGGACCTGGGAGGAGAATCCTAAAACCAGTTTGTAACATACGTTTCGAAGAGGAGCACCGATCTTAAAAGTACGGCCATCCGGGCCGGCCCTGGATCCGCGTTTAACACCGGCAGGCATAGCGTTGGCATTGTTGGGTCGACCGGCTTTTAGCGATCGTTGTATCGCGTTTGTTCCTTAATTGATGACTCTCTTTTCACGAGTGTTATTAGTCGGGTAACCAGCTATTAGTCGTGCAAACGGTTCACGCGGAAGGTAAACACCAAATCTTTCTATCAGCTTCGCGAGCTCAGCCAACGAAGTAATACAAGTGACTCTGTATTCATTAGGTTTCAATTAACTAAGGAATTTCTATTGTTTTCCATTCGTATCCAGATGAATCGAGTTCCCCTCTGGAAAGCCTCAAAGATCGAGCTTATTTAATTACACGCGAAACGATCGTTCAAAGTATCGCGATCAGAATCACGAATCTCTCCATCAACTTTGTTTCGTAACAAGACTGGTCGAGGAATACAAGCAACTTTGGATCGACTGAGGAATTTGTATTGTTTCCCATTTATATCCAGATATACCAAATTATCCTCGAAATAGGTTCAAAGAGTAGATTTATACGAAGTATAGAGGAAACAATTGTTCAAAGTATACGGCGATAAAAATGAAACTACAGGGAAAGCAATCTACGTTGAAACGTCGTGAAATTGATTTTTACAGGGTCAGTTAACCGATGGAGGTCGATAATTGACATTTCACGATATTTTCCGAGCTCGATGGAAACGGTACATAGCGGTGCTCGATAATTTCCCTCGTAGCTGGCAACATGAATCATTCGTTTCGCGGCAAAAGACCAAGGTGTACCACGTACGCGTTACACGTGCACACTCCAGTTCGGCTGAAAGTTGTGATATATCCGTTATAATTTCGTATGGTCGGGCGTATTGCTTCCGTATGTAGGAACCATTTGTTCCGGAAAATGGTGCAATTTTGTCTCCCTCGCTACGCGGGGTACAAGCGCAATACCTTCGCGGATATAATTTAAACAAGGTCTCTTTACGTAACACGCTCTATTTATTTGGGCATATCTACGCTTGTCCGACGTACACAATGCCGATGCGAAATGTCACACAATTTCTGTTAAACGTCCTCGCCTCTAATGGACGTGTCGACTCGCGCCCGGCTTCGTATTATATTTTGCGGCTTCGGGTAGAGACAATGCTTGATTTAACTTGGTAAACGTCCGCGTTTATTGCGCGGAATTACCCTCTTTATTGTACGCGATTCTTTTGATGTTTCAAAAGTGGGAAACAATTGAATCGTTATAATCGGATTTAATAATTAGAGAGGCGGCGAAAGATACAAATTCTATCGATGCAGCAAAATGCATCCATTTTGTCTTTTCACTTATCTTATGGTTTTGTTTGAAATCTCCTTGCAGTTTGTAACGTTAAAGGAAAAATGTCTTTGTGATATCGCTTGAAGAGCAGAAAAGCTGAAGTACGGAGGGTAAGAAGTATGAACTACTTCTCGAAATACTAACATCAAAGGATTCTAAGAATTTTCTTTCCATGAAATATACATGTAGATTCAGATGTACAGGGTACAGAAGAGAGATGACCTAATTCGATACGGAGCTTTAGACAACTACCAAAATGGATCAAATACTTCAACGAATGCAGTTTATTTATATAAATAATTTTACCAGTTTGTATTTCTTATTTTATACGAACACCTTCTTCGTGTGTCGTATCAACGGCATTTCGCGTTTATAAGAGAGCGAAAAATTTTCAAAATAAACCCGTATTTCTGCTAGCACTTTGCGCGAGGTTACTTCAGCCGCTATTTCATAAATCGTATGCGACTAAATTGCACGGAAACGCCGACACACGAAATCGGCACGTTCGCCCGGCACAAGTATACTTTTCTTCTTCGTTCTGGCCGAACTGACGTACGAATTTCCTCTCGCTCGTTGGTCCAGAACTCTGTCTCTCCTTTTCCCTCTTACCCCAGTCCCAAGAGGACCCTCGTCTCGGAAAATTCGATTTCAAGGATTTGCTGGCGACAGACACGAACACACGTCTTTCACGGCATAGCGTTGCACGAACGGAGACGGTGCTCTTATACAGGTACAAAAGCTATTGCGACTGTTCGTCAACTACGATACGCCTATACAAGGTACATTCAGGAAAATTTCAACGTTCCGTCAACTAGACACGTTTCACGTTCTTATTTTCACAGAAAGGATTTTTATATTTACAAACTCTAGTGACGCTGATATTTATAAAATAAGCTTTCAATTAAATGGCAGTGATCGTTTCAATTACAAAAGGGAAAAGAAAATAATGGAAAAACATTCTTTTCCACCAAAGCAATTTCGCAAATGAACAGCAAAACATAAAGATGATTGAAACTCGTAAACAAGGTCGAGCATAATACCTGTGAAAGAATGTTTACGATTCGGAATACAGACCGTGAATATGAACTTCACAAAACCTATTCGGTCCTGTTTTTGTTTCTACTGCGAACATTGATTCGCGTGGCATTGTTCAATTCGCAGTAAAGTGTTATCAGCTAAGCGTTGAAGAGATAATTGAAAATTAAAAGTTGGACTCACCGTTGTAGCAATCAGATGAGACGCGAAGCGAAAGTGGGCGAGGGCTGGAAAAGAGGATGGAAAAAAGGCAGAGAAGAAATCAAGATTCCTGGTGGCACGGGGTTCCTCTTCTCCTGAAGTTCTTCCCTCGAAGGGGTGCGTGAGTGCGTGCGTGCGTGCTTAAGGTCCCTCTCGCGTGCGGCGTGAGAACTCTTTTTTCGGTGTTCAAGAAACGAGTTAAAAAGTAGACGATGAAGTTGGCCGAGTCCTCTTCAACTTGCCACGGTCCGTTTTCTCCTCCTTTCTTCCTCCCCTTTTCTTTCTTTTACTCCTTTAATTGGCCTCCTTAATATGCGAAACGGCACACGAATTTCAATGCGTTCGCGTGATTATTAATTAAGAGCTTCCACTCGAATCGGCCCGAATGATGTATACACTCGAAGGTGATCAGGACATCGGAGCCTGGATGATTGGTCGTGCAGAACGAATGTCTCCTCTCCTCGCTTGCTTCTGATTAATTATCTATTCGAGTAATCGGCCTCGTTCATTTACTTCCTTCGTCCAGGATACACGTCCGATAACTTTTAAATCCAGACGCGAGTGACTCTGATTAATTAAGCCAACGGAAACTTCTTTTTTATCGACTCGTTGAAACAATTAATGGCGTCCGGATTTGGCGGGAAAACGCGGGGGAATAGTGTACTGTTTCCAAACGATACTCCGGTTCGATAGCGATAAGCAGCTAACGTCAGACGATATATCAGTTATCGAAAAAAGCTGTCCGTAAAGTACAGGTTGAATTAACAAAAAGTATTTATTGGCCGAAACTGTTGGTTGACTGCGAGTTTATCGTAAGTAGATAATGTTGACGTTGCACGGTCGATAACGAGCAGTAGATCGAGTCTAGTTAGTGACGCGTAAAAAAGTCGAAATGATCAGTCTTCGCAAACATCACTCGGCACACCTTTCTATGCTTAAATGATCGATCGTTGTCACACGCCGGTTGGTCGATCCGGAATTTTGTCCTGTTCCCCCCCGCCTGCTTTTCCGGCTCTTTAACTATTGACCGTCGTTGTCACGGAGTGACAGGTGAATTCCAATCAAGACTCTAATCTTTCGGAGCCGTAATCAAACGACGAACACCAGATACTGAATCGACGTCGGTGATTGACTCTGCCCGGTGGAACAAGGATGTCTGTCCGCACATACGTCGGATTAATTACTTCAGCGGTTAGTCGGCACACTACGCTCACTCGTGGCCAAGTTACCGGTATATATACGGGTATACCGGCCTCCAATTGCAGTTACTCGTGGCTGATGCACCGCAGGACGCATCTCGAAACCCACACGCAGACGATAACCTCGAAGCTCGCACTAGAAACACCCTCGGTAGCACTCCAGAGTACTCGATCGCACTCGCGTCGACGGATCATGATGTTGCCAACGAGCACTGATTCCATGTAAACACACATACACCAACACGGTTACACACGCGTATATACAAGATACGTATCTCGGAGCGAGCACTGTGGTCGTGTCACAAATCCGAACGCGGTGTTGTCAGAATTAGTTACTACTAATCATTAAGCTCTGATCGATTTTAGAAGACGATAAACACACTTTCGAAAGTATTCTACGAGATAAATAGTCATACGAACGAGATTCACTTGATCTGAATCAAGCCTAACTTCACTGTCAACGCGCGTGGTCCTTGTCCACCATGTTGTGACGTATCAGTGACGTTTCGATAGGATCGATGTGGGGTCGATACGCGGTCGAATAACGCGTGCGAGTGGTCACGCCATGTTTTATTTGTTCGCGATCGTAGACGGAGGACGCGTCGCGTGGAACGGACGATAAACGTGACCGGGTGACAGTTTTGCGAATATACAACACGCGGTCGTGAACGATCGGTGAAATTTGTGCGCGAGTCGGTCGTATGGACCACCGTGATCCGGCCTCGGAACACACGCTCGTTGAACTGTCGTTCGGAGCAGCTCGGCCCGCGGTTTAGTATCAACGTTCGTTCTTGGCTGGCGTCGCGCCCCTCCCGGGACGCCGGTCGACGCCAATCGAGTGCGCGTATACCTTCGTGTACGTACCTGTGAACCTGTGAGGAGAACCCACCTCTGCCTTCCTGTCTGAATCTCGACTGTGTGCACCTTTACGTGATCCCATGTGAGTACCTTTTGTGTTTCTATTCTACTAGACGATTTCGCTTTTTCGCTCGACTGCAATTATTCGCCATCTTGGCATAACTTCCAAAGCCGTAATTACGACTAATGATAGTAATTACGGTTTGTACAACATTTTTATTGATTCGATAAAATATTCGAATTTCGGTAATAAAAATATTATACTGCGTACGGCTTCGGAAGTTTTACCGCCATCTTGAATTTCCGCCGCCATATTGAATTTCCGTCGCCATCTTGAATTTTTGCCGCCACCTTGAATTTGCGCCGCCCTCTTGAATTTTCGCGGCCATCTTGGATTTTCGCCGCCACCTTGAATTTGCCCCACCCTCTTGAATTTTCGCGGCCATCTTGGATTTTCGCCGCCACCTTGAATTTGCCCCGCCCTCTTGAATTTTCGTCGCCATGTTAAATTTTCGCTACCTGTTGAATACAACAGGAGGCACAGCGCCGTTGTAAATTTTTATTTTACTGGAAATATTGGTAGATAGATCAAAGCTGATACATTAAAGCTTTCCTTCTGAGGTGGTTCAATTTAATTGAAGAACAGGTAGATGTACTGTTAGAAAACCAGTCTCGTTTCCCTCTCTGCGGTATTACCATACTTGAGTAGTACAAACGGACAGCAAACGCGGAATTCACAGCATTGCCTCGACCTTGTGCTCGCTCTAATTGGCAGACGGTGATCTAAAGTCTAGAATTTAAGCGTTCGTTTAATGACAAAACTGCTATTATTCCTCACGGTCTCGCTTCGTCTGCAGTACCTTGTTATGCGACTATCTGTCTTCGGACAGATTCATATTTAACAATAGCCTTTTGTTCTTCTTATTAATTTCCTACCGGTGAGAAACCATTTGGCACAAGTGAAATTGAAATGTTATTACCATTTCGCGATTAAAGATTTCTGCTCAAAAAATATGGACAATATATGGTATAAAAATTAATTCTGTGCCTTCTCCTTTTTTTTTAATTGAGTAATTATTTTTCAAAGTTCATGATGACTTTTGAAAATAATGATTTTATGTCAATATTTACCACAATATCTTATGAAATACAAACGACTCCCAAATTTTATCAATAATTTTGGATTTGGGGGGAAAAAATACATAGAATTTACCCCTTTTCAATTGATTTCTCATTGGAACCTTAATTGTAAACATTTACCAAGAAAATTTCTTATTTAATCAATTCGCGCCGCGTCATGTATATCCATTTCAGTTTGCGATCGCTTTCGTTTCCACTTGCACATACTTGAACGAACACGTGGAAAGTATCGACAGAAAGTTCGTAGCACTCGATTTCGCGACTCGGTGTTTGTAGTTGAGAGTAAATGTAGAGAAAAGCTAGTGTGCCGCAAGCAGAAGCACGCGTGTGCGCGACTGTTGCGAAGAGATTTCATAGTCCATGTAGTTTGGCATCAATGCAAGATCTGGGGTTGGTTTCAGACGCGCGATAAAGCCATTTCAAATTGAATAACAGATTTCTGAGCACACAACAAAATGCACTTGCCGCGAACGCTTCTGAAACCCGGAAAAGAGGGTGGAACAATAGAGCCCACTCTCCCCGTCTACTTACACTTTCCATTTGGCCTGTCTGCTAGACTGGCTGCCTGTGTTTTCAACAAATACATTTGTATATATTGCGACAATGATCAATTTTTGTCTCGTTGCTCACCTGCATTGCAAAATTCATGTTATGGCCAGGGAACCATAAAAATATTTGCAGCATCCTGAATGCTCGAAAAACAACTCCACTTTTGTGAATTATTTTTTGAATACTGAAGTGTTATTGATTGGAATATGCACATACTGGATAACCTTTTAGAAATTTTTTATGGCAATTCATTCAGTTGATAAAAAAAAAATTAGCACATTTTTTAACTTCACTCCTTGTAGCTTCACTCCTCTTTTACTTGTACCACCAATTACACGACACTTTCTATATTGTCCTGTGTATAACACGTTACCATTAAAGCTTTACAGGATTGCCTCGAAATAAGCAAGTAGCTCGGGACCGAACAGTTGCTTATTTCGAAGCAGATATGCTATTCGGCTTGACTCTGTTCTCGAAACGGGACAATAGAGAACGCGAGAAACGAGTGAGAGATCCGAGGTAGCGGCAAATCATAAAGTGATCGGCCGAGCAGGGATGTTATTTTTTGAACAAGGATAGAAAGCATCTCAGTCAAGCCTGAATGGACCTTTCACTCATTTCTCATACCTCTCACTTTGCGGGCGACTTCAAACAAAGAAGAGAGGATAGCCAGTTGCTTAATTTCGAAGCAGAGCCCACTTGCTTATTTCGAAGCAATACTGTACCTCGAACGCGCAACCCTCTTCGCGTAAACTTCCCTTCGCAGCTTTCTGGCTGCTGCGTGTTTGTTGGCTTTGGATTTCGAAACTCGCACCATAAAACTCTTCTGGTATCAATCCGCCCCTCTCGTTTCACCCTTACCGATCGACCCTCGAATGTGCGAACCGCGAAAACTTTTGGCATATCAGTTTTGTCGAAACTTCCAATCGACTGTGGCGCTTGCAAAACGTGCGCCAATATCTTTGCACGAGCTCCAAGATTTTTGCAAGTTGCACACAGGTCTTAATCCTGTTATTGCAATATAGAGAAGTTTCTAATCGACGTGTGAATTAATATACGATTTTTCGCGGTATGCGCATAAAGGAAAAAAGAAAAATGAAACGAGGCAATCGCGTTTTCTCATCGTACGCAATGTTCCCATTGTACTCTGAAATAATACTTCTATCATCGACGAACAATGAATGTATTATACGACGCGAGTCACTTGGGTCTGTTCGTTAATAATTTTCAAAGCGGCTTCGTTAAAAACAAAATAAATGGTAATTTCGCGGCGTCGATCCTATTCATACGGATTAAACAGGGGGACGCGACAAAAAGTTTTCTCAACCATGTAAAACCATGTAAATTGTATAAAATAAAGTTAACTACCAGCGATTTTTGAATACACAGACGCTACAATAAATATTCTCCGATTGAAATAACTCATGCATCGCGATAACGCAATACAAACGTGATTACAAAAATTGAAAGGCATTTATGAGGTGCATTGAAAACGTTATATTAAATATCGGGTAACAAACATTCTGTAGATGTTTTTCCTGTTTACACGGTATCAAGCTGCGGTGAGAGGAAAAAGTTGATGAATAAATATCATTAATGACTGAAATTGATGTATTCAGCCAATAATTTCTTGTTAGGTATAAAAAGGTATAAAAAGATCCCACGAGATGTAAAATTCTATTTTCTCAGTTTACATTCTGAATTAGCAGTAGTTATACCAGGGGCGAATTGGGATTTAAATTTTTCTTGGGAGATTAGTGACACGACGGGTTCTAAATTAGATAACCTAAGTAGGTGGATAATTAATTGGGCTCCAAATTCCTAATTTTCCCGAACTTCCGATGGTCAGACCGCCCCTGAGTTACACCCGTATAGCTTTCCACAGGTACTAGGAGGTTGTTGTATGAAATTAGCATGGCCGTGATAGGATTGCATTTATTCATGTACGATTTAAACTAGCTGACGAGGGTAGCGCGCCTTTGTCGAGCGTCCTCGAACGTTCTCTCTTTCTTCATCTACCTCGTTCAGAACCGTACTCTCTGTTCGTCCTTCTCTTAGCTCGGTCCTTCGAGCACTTACGTGTGTTTTGTTTGCGACACGATCCTCGAGCTCTTCTGTGCCCGTGCAAAACCACGCGGCCAGTGCCGGCACGAACCGCATGCCCTTCCGCGCGTGCCACTCGTGCATTCTTTGCACCGATCGAACGTTATGCAGATCCGCTCCGGGGCTGAATTTGTGCCCGATGCCGAGCAGCAAGGTCGTGCCTTGACCGGCAGACTGACCGAGACTTTGCGCTACGACTGCTCAGCATCCACCGGGATTCTTGGAATGTTTGCCCCGCGTTACGACACTGACAAAGGACACGCTCGATTC